AAGCCAAAGCTCTACATCGCCTAGTGGCGGCCAGACAAGAAGCGCTTTCAGCGCTCGACAGAATCAAACAGCAGCGAGCGGCCTTCGAGTCTGGATGGGCGGTCTACTCCCAAGGCCTTATCGACCTACTGTCCAAGCAGATGCAGGAGAGATCCGAGCACCTGGCACAGATGGACGCAGCGCAGATGACGTGGACCAGCAAGTTGAGCGAGACAGCAAAATCCATCAAGGAAGCGACCAGAGATGCCCACCTCACGGACTCCGGAGCCATCGAGATAGCATCTGGGGACGAGGAGGACGAGGACGAGATGGAGGATGCAGTGGACCAAGCAGCACAAGAGGCTGCCAAGGCAGAGGTTCGCCAACAGCGCGTTGCCCATCACCATGCGGAGCTAGAGAAAGCTCTCAAAGCAGTTCGCGACGAGGCGGTGGCAGGTTCAGACAAACGCGAAAGAACCCCCAGGCGCTCTCAGGTCAAAGCCGAAGTCAAGGAAGAAGCCAAGGACACCAAAGATGCAAGCAATCCTGGTGGTGCTTCCAAGCCGCCTGGTTTTTAAGCGGCTCTCCGGCGTGCCTTTTCAGGGACGGAGAGCCGAAAGACGGCCACGCGATCGTGGAGTTTCCACATTCGGTGCATCTTGAGCCCGACTTTGTGGACGAACGACTCGCATCTTTGCTTGCAATGCAGCTGGCTTTTGATGTGCACTGTGCCAGCGGTGCACAGGTTACATATGGATGGTGGGACCCGCGCATCGAGGAAAATGCGCGCGCACTGGACATCGCCAACGGCCATACGGTAGGCGCAACCGCAGACCTCAGTAGGCAACCCGAGATTCCCTCTATTTTCCGAGATACTCACCTCTACATGGCCACAGAGGGTGAGACACTCGAAGCAATAGGGGGCTTTCGGCTGCCTACTCTGGCAGCGGTTTCGAGCCACCGTTCGTCCACCACCAGAACGAGCTGTGTACATAGCGACGTACAGTGTACAAAGCGTAATGTGACTTTTTCAGATGCT